GCACATGGAATGCCATGAGCAGCTCACATGCAATTAATCCATCACGCTTACACCGTAACTCCTGACTGTGTCCGACGTGTACTACTGCTCTTGTCCGGTACTCAGTTCGCGCTGCAGTCATGCTCCCAACCGCGTACTGTTCGACTGCAGTTGTTGAGCCATGCTGCAGGGGATGCCGAACATTCGATTATAACCGACTCCAATGTTGGTGTGAAGGCAAAATTCATTTCGAAATACTAGCATCCAATTGTGTGGTGACAATTCTAAGAATTCTGTAAGAATTCATCAAATTGTGTGGTGAGAATTCTAAGAATTCTGTAATAATTCATCAAATTGTGTGGTGAGAATTCTTAGAATTCTGAACAAGCGTAGACTCCGTTGGCTTTATCAAACTTGCCCCGATGAGCTAGATCCCCCGGTCCCACACCAATTCCGTCTGAGGGGCATAGATTTAAAGCAGCACTTTCGCCTAGTTCTGTAACTGGATGAGGACGTGTAACTCTAGCAGCACCGCTGGAGATGAAGAGCAAATTCTACTCACCCGTCCACACTGTCAATAGAACAAGATGCTCCTCGCCTGTCACCTGTATTGGGCCGCATATCCACTAGCCACTTACTGTAATTTGGTTGTGTTAGCCTGATGGTACTATGTTGTGACCAAATTGTAGTTTCTATTCGATGACTGTATTGCTTGTTCTGAGCGTCCCATCTGAGTTCCTTATGGAGTGTTGGATCCACTACAGCCGCACTTCTGCGTTTGAGCTGTTGGTGTGATCTTCTGTAGAGGTCGAAAGTCTGCTTATCTGACACTCACAAGAACTAAGCTAAATTGGCCGATCAGATATTTCCTTCGATCGAGCTTCGAAGGAGATCATTGCCGTCAGTGTACATGATGGAAGAAGTCACCAAATGGCACGTCGAGACCAACTATGACAAAGGACAATGTACCACATCATCTGCTACTGCTATAATTGATGTGGTGTTTTACCTCTTCAGAGATGAAGCAAAGCTATTTCATGGGAAATTTGAGTTCAATTTTGGAAATGGCTGCACAGTCTCCAGATCCATACTATGCTTGAATGAGCTTCAAAGTTCTTCGTTTATTCCTTCAAAACAAGTAATAATCTAGTTTAAGTTTTCCTTGTATAAACCCCATGCATGCATGCATACGAAGTCCTACAACTTCAAAATAATCACCAAATCGTGTAGAACTTGCATGTGTATTTATAAGCAACATTGTTGTCATGCAGCCTATCTTTCCTCGCTTCTCAATTCTAGAAATAGCTCCTCCAGTTTTCTGTAAGAGCTACGTCTGAACTAGGGAGCTGAGAAAACATTTCAGCCATCGAGACATCGAAAAAGACTTAAGATATTTTTAGCTCAGACTTCATTTCGTTACATGATGGTAAAAGAGAAATCACATTCAGTTGATCCAGTGATGCTTGTCTTGTTGCTTCCTCACGTATAGAACTTGTGTTAATATGAATGCACGGTAGATGCACAATCTCTTGCTGCTTGCTACATTAGATTTCGATCATTATACATAGACAAACTTTGGGCATTCTCTTTGAAGTTTGACCTTTTCCAATGATGTATGTATACGCGAGAATTGAGCAGTGATGACAGATGGTCCATCTGAGATGGATGTTCTTCCATTACAATTATGAACCAAGATCCAAAGAAGAAAGAATCCTGTGGATGGATTGACTTTGCATCGATGACATGAGATCTGAAGCAGCATTTGGGTGTGTTTTGAAGATGCGTTGCTGCAAATTGACTGGCTCGGTTGGCCACCTGGGAGACAATCATACAAGCTGTACCAGCAGCTGAAATTATTGTGTTCCTTGTGGACATCACCGGCAGTCAAGTCAGCTTTGCAATCGTTTTGATTTTCTTGGCTAGACAGCGATGTGGGAGGAACAGTTTATGGTCTCTGGCCCTAAAAGGCTCAAAAAGCTTGATGATCATGCCAATTCATGAAGGTTCAGCCCACTGCACCTCTTCCATCGAACAATGGTCCTCTATCCCACAAGCAAGAGCTGGAAACTGCTTGAAAAGACGAGCACCGAGTAATACAGCACGAAGGGTGGGTAAGGCAAAAGGCAAGAGGATAAATGATGTCATGAGAGGCCAGCGCAAGCTGAAGGCAAGAGAATTGTCCGAGTGCCCACGTGTTCCTACGCAAGTCCCACAAGAGAACATTGCTCGCTCTGAATATCATGTATGTTGGAACATGCCCTTTCCAAAAGCAGCTCATTAGTATGTGTCAGATGTACTTCATTCATGTGCACAGTGGAGTGAAATGAAGAGTTCTCCCACAAACTGCATCCGTGCAAGAAACCTTGTGATCGATCAAGGAGCGGCAGAGTTGACGTGAGTTTGTGGCTTGAATTTATGGCGTTTCGTGCACTAACGAACCCTATTTGGGTTGGAATCAAACTAATGTTGTGGATGCCGATGGATAAAGGGATCTGTGTCCTTTCTTCAGTCATCTTAATCCAATGATGAACATAGAGCTCACCGGTCCTGTCTGGTCTGTCTTTGTCAGCGAGAGATCATGAACGCAATTATTGTTCTCAAATTTGCTACTTCAACTCTACTTACTGCGGCCAAGTTTGTGCACGAGCTGATGATGGAAAGGTTACGTATGAAAGAGTGAGTGAGTGAGTGAGTGTGTGTGTGTTTTTGTGCACTTTGTTTTACACTAGCCCCACCTGCTGGGAGCTCCAATGTCGTGGGTGGAGGACATGATTGAGCTGCTTTACCAGAAAACAATTCTGGCTTTCTCGCTATGCGATCATGGTGTTCATATCTCCCTCTTTTCTACTCATTCAAAAGCTCTTACGTACTGCCACCGCTAGTCCTACTACAACCTTTCCCCACGTCTTTTCCAACCTTTCAGAGCTCAGGTCCATCGAATGATACACTGCGGAGTGGAGTGTGCTCATCGAGTCGAAATCGACTGCAACCAGATTTCAAGGGTCTAAAGGGCAAGATGCAGTGTGCACATCCGACTACCCTCAGGAGAGGTTTGTTCATAGCACTCGTGCAGTTCATGCAGCACGAGGGCAGACGCGAGATTGACAAGGTGAGTTGCAGCCCTCATGCCAACCCAACCCAGCTCATGGGCCCCATGCAGGGCTCGAGCCTATAAGTACCATGGGTAGTCCATGACCGACTTCGTGCTCGTGCTCGAGCATTGTTCATGCTCTCGAGTCCTCGCGTGTACTTGGAAACGAAATCACAGAAGATACTTCTGAGGATGGCCATATCTCGATACGAGTTCTGGGCACGCATAAGGTGAAAGGTCTTGTCTTCCAAGGTAGTTCATTCAACTCATCTGGAGTTGGTGAATGACATTACCACCCAGTATCCAGATTCACAATTTTCCATTGAGACGAATGGTAATCGTGAAATCATCGTCAACATCCTCGACCTTGCATAAGCTAGTGTACCTCTGAAAGAATATACTGCTCAATTCGTGAAACCCACGAAGTCCCATGTCGACCGGAGGCTAGAAAACATCTCCGTAGTAGATTTGGATGACAAATCAATCACCTGATGGCATTTCTCGAGATTCAAATCGTTGGCTCACTCACTAGAGTGCACCGGCGTTTAAGATCAAGTGAAGGTTGATAACTCAACCCGCTCGCCCAGCGACTGGAAACAATCTCTGGAGCAGCGATATCAATTCCAAGGGTGAAACGCAATGTACACTCTGACGATAAATAAGGCAATGCCTACAATTATTTGAGTCTACGCATAGTCTGTATAACTCGGAAACTTGTCCATAGCTGACACGTTCTCACACTGCATGTGTCGCCTGTGCCTTCATGAGTCCAGTACAGAACACGAGGTTTCACTCCACGGGCGTACTCTGCGTTCTCCTCTCTCGTATGTAAAGAGGACATCACTTGACATTGACTTCGACCTTGAGCAATGCACAAGGTCGAAGAGGACAGTCGACTGCATGGAGTTGGAGAGGCAGAGAGGGGGCGTGGACGTCTCGAGGTTTGTCAGATGAAGGTGAAATAGAATGTAAGAAACGCATGAAGACAAAGACCGATTAGTTTTGACGAGGCATAAGTCAGAACAACACCCCAATGATACCATCCAGGCTACGGTACACGGCTGCGTAGCCTCGGTCACAAACGGTTCTGTACCGTGGTTCAGCCTCAGGAGCTAAAAAATTTGTTACGACTGACGTACAGAAGAATCAGTCTTCAATCTGCAGCCTTTCAAGTCCGCAGGTTTCTCTGCAGAGAATGAGATCTGTCCAGCCAGTCTCGATCTCCAGGTTCGACTTACATGAGTGGTTCCTATGTTGGCAACGAAACTTTTTGTCAATAAGTCTCGTTCACAGGCTGGATGTCATTATCTCACGTGTTGGGGCTGGACCACTGTCCTTACCTGTGCTCGACAAAAGTCCCAACTTCGGAACTCGTGTACGCCAGTCAACTCGGAACTGACATCAGTAGGAAAGGATGAAAGGCTGGTTGGAGAAATAGCCGATCGAGGCTTGCATCACGACAGAGGGCGACCGTGTTCCAACACTCATTCTCGTATGAATTTCAGTTGTTGGTCATCTGTAGATGGTTTGTTCATGGTCTGATACAAGTTTTCATTGATTTACTTTTGGCTCCGACGGAGGTTGCACAAATGATGCAATACATCAAGTTGACAGCTTTTACAAATCAGACACCCTGCGTCGTGACTAGCAATCACGACGAGCATCTTGACAGTGTGACGGAGAGAACGTAATACAGTACGTTAGTACCCGACATGGGTCATAGCACCTTCTTTGGTCGGGTGAACTGCTATGCAATTATGTACAAGCACACGTTCACAAATCTTTCCTAAATGCATGAGTCATATGTACCTCCGGAAACTATCGACAGCATTTCATAAATTTCACGTGACGTACGACAGAGAAAGGGGAACATTCCAAACAAAAAGCAGTCAGTAGTACTCAGAAATACACTCGCAATATATGAATGTGTCAATTTCACGTTTTTCGTTGTGATGAGAGAGATTATCCAGCCTTCTGGATATCTTAACCGGGTTCAGTAAGACATACAATTCTCACATATACTCCCAAAGTTACTGACGACGCATCCTAGTGCTAAAATGTTATCATCGAAAATGGGCCGAACACGCAATACAATAGACTACAGACACTGAGCGGTGTGGACCATTCGTCCTTTGAATTCGGAAGGTTGTAAACTCTTTCACTCGAAATGAGGATGAACTGTAAGGCCACATCCTCAAAAAATTTCGCCACAAATGCTCCTTCCGGCCTAAATTTTTTCACGAAGGTTAAAGTCTGATGGGAAGAATATGGTCACCCCCTGATGTTACGGGAAAAAAAATGTACAGGAATGATTATTTAGGCCAGCTGGAGCACTTTCTCACGAAGACCTCTCTTTTAACGCCTCTGACAAATAAATTATAGAACTTGACCGATATCCACATTCATCCAAACAGCTGCTGTCTCTCAATAGGGTAGAGAATATCTGCAACCCTCTTATTGATACACCAAAACTCAGGCTCTCAGAGAGGGATGCCTAGCAAGACTCGCGAAGCCATAAGTGTCCCAGAACCAGGATAGGACCATGGCCTGCATCGAATGATGATGACTCGTATCATCTGATACATGAAGCTAGGTTTGAATGGACATACTTCCGTAAAACATGCCCCTTGGTGTTCTTGCTGACATCGGCTCACGATAGGCCACGAAACTCAATAGTAGTAATGTCATCCTGTTTCCTTGGCAAAACGAATGACCTCAAAGTAGTAAGGTCATCGGGTCCTCAATGTATCCTTTGAAAGCCCCAAGCCATTGGGCGCCAATAGCACCTGCAAATAACAAAGTATGCTTTATGAGGTGAGTATTAAATAGAAGAAGTGGGAGACTTTAGTCCTGGTACACCATAACCTACTGCATATGCAGTAGATATTATAACGCAAGTGCTCAAATGCAATCAGAAGGAAAGTTCGATGCCATACCGTCCACAACTCTGTGGTCGCAACTTAGTGTGACAACCATGAAAGTACCAGAGGTATATTCCCCGTCTTGTGCACCTGGCACAACTCGTTTCTCGGCTGCAATGGATAGAAACGCTCAATTGTTAATGATGTAATGAACTGAAAAACTTGCAAAAAAGCTTTAGAAACAATTTCTCAATAAAAAGACCGAAAACAACAGACTGAGTAAATGAACATACGATCCCCATTACTTACTCGTGCCAACAGCAAGTATACACGACTGTGGCGGGTTGATAATGGCACAGAATTGCTTGATCCCGAAAGGCCCTCCTAGGTTTGAGACAGTGAATGTTCCACCCTGAAAAAATTTCACCGAGCCGAAGTCGTTCAAATATTCACATAAGATATCATTTGATGGTATGTCTAAAGTTGGAATGATATAGAGCCCAGAGAGAGGGCTGATTCACACCAGAAATTCATTCACCGAGTACCTAACGAGAGTGAACTGGGCAACTTGCTGCTCATATCTTGTCCCTACAACTCTGGACTATGATGGTATCGTGTATCTATAATATATGCACATACCTCATAATCAGCGGGCTTCAAAGAGTTCGATCGAGCCTTATCAGCTAAGATTTTGACATCTTCTGAAATGGCAGCGAGTCCCTTTCTGTCTGCGTCCTGTTACGTAAACCAGTACAGACTAATTGAATAAATAACGGAGCGAGTCAGACGCATGCGAACGCTTCTATTGAAAGGCAAAACCACCCAAACTCTTTCAGATTTTTCTTTCATATAGACAACTCGAAACTCTTTTACTCTAAGTGCCATAATAATGGTCAGATGAGCTCGACTTAATACCTTGACAACAGGGACCATAAGACCTTGATCGGTCTGCACAGCAACACTGATGTTGACGTTGTGAAACCTGTTCATAAAGTCAGAGAAGTTATAAATATGCATATATAAGATGGTTAAATTCTGAGAGAAATGAGAAAGCTGCAAGACTGATAACTGTAACTTGTGACACTGAAGTCTTACTGTCGGATGAAGTCATCTGTCCAAGAGCTATTGCACTCAGGAACCTTTTTTGTGGCCAAAGCAGCAGCCTGCGAAGAGCAGACAGAAATCAGGCGTCTAAATTCATCTAATCAAACTCCAAGAGTATTTGCTAAGGTACCATTTCTCTTCCAGTCACTACTCAACAAATCTCAATCTGTAGCAGCTACCTTCTCCAACTTTCACTGACAAGATTGTCTAGACATGTTAACTTATTATTGCAAAACCTCTAAGCGCCATAGTTGTGTTCATTGCATATATTATTGAGTTCATTCATACTTGGAACACTTGAATAGCCATCGCTTGATCACATCTAAAGAAAAAACTCGGCCAACCAGTTCATATAAGCCTTAACTAGGTGTTACAGAGACCCCAAACACCAAGAAGTCCTTGCTAAGACTGGCGTTCTGTGTAGCTTGTTTCGTGCGTTAGCAGGCTGGTTAGAAGCAAATTAGATCATTGAATTGAACAGCAGACAAACTTTCCTGTTCGTGTCTGAACATATCAACTTCTTTAACGTCCAATCTTACTTGCCTTGATTTCACTCAGCTACAGTATTTAATGTAAAGACACTGCCACAAAGACTAGCAATGTCACACATGAATGGCACGTTAAGAATGTACCTTAATCACAAAGTCGTTCAAAGATAACTTCTTTCGTTTAGCAGCTTCTTGTGCTTGATTCAGCTGCTCTCGCAACCTGATCATCACAATAAGTGGGTCATTTTGTGATGCAAGATAGAATTACAAGAGCACCGTGAAAATAATGAGTAGACCTGTTCTAATATTTAATAACCAAAAATTTGCTACGACAAAATGACCTAATTGCTTTTCCTTCAATAATAAAATAATACAGCAAAAATTGATATAGAAGAGTATGTTTCGCATGGGTGATGTAACGAGCTTTTCAGACATTTAATTGACCTTAAGTAGCAGTTACTGAATTGTCCAAAATATAAAACAAGAAATCGTCATAAAGGAGAATGACAGAGATATACAAATATGTGAAACTAAGATCTGGTATTTTCTAATTACTACACAGGTTCAAAATGACACCACTTACGCCAGAAGCTTGTCTACTCGTGTGTCAAGACTCAAATAATAGTGTGGAATGGTCTGCTTGGATTGAAGAAGTCTACGAGCAGTAACCTGAGATCCAAGAACAATATATTTAAAAACTCCCGCATGTCTATTACTTTTGGCACAACAAACGAAATTCACCAAAATTTGTAAGAATAAAAGAGCCCCTTTCTTCTGAAATCTGACACATTCTATACCTACATAGATCATGCTCCCACTCAAAATCCTGGGCTACCGATTTCAAACATACCCTCTTAATTTGATTGTTGGGAATGTCGGTGTAATCCACGTCACCAAGAACACCTTCGGCTTGACGAGTTGTTGCTGGAACTGCAGCTGTTGTTCCTGCTTGAGTCTCCCTTTTCGCGGGTGCAGGTCCAGTGGCTGCTTGCAGGCGATCCAGACAGTACATTCTTTACGATAATACAGAAGACAAAAGACTACCATAATGTCAATCTGACTGTACCAAACTCTACAAACTACTGAACGAAGTACAACACCATCACCAGTGGAATTAGAGATGCACTTTTACATCTAACATGAAGGGTGTATCCAAACCTAAGTAGTCCTCAACATCGGCCTTGACAATCCGTCCATCTGGTCCAGTACCCCTCAAACTGGAAAGAGACACCTGCGGCACGTTAACCGGCAATGAAGTTTGGGCGTTATTTAATTATCACTTTCTGATTCAGTCCTTTGAAACCATATGGAAAGGATAAAACTGTACAAATAACATGTTCAGGACAGACAAACGACTGTAAACTCACATTTTTTTCCTCAGCAAGCTTTCTCGCGGCAGGGCTGGCGAATATACGGCTGCCATCTGATTTTGGGGCTGGTGGGGCTGATGATGTGGATTCTCTTCGAGGAGCAGGAGTTGGGGAAGGTGGAGGAGGAGGAGGAGGAGATGAAGCCTCTTCTTTTGGGGCAGCTGCTTTAGGGGCAGCAGCAGCTGCACCTTGATAATTACTAAACGCGGCAATATCATCTTTGTCTTCCACCATAATGCAGATAGCCTGTAACACAGAAGAATGTTAAAGCCATGAAAACATGAGGTCAAGACATCTAGACTTAGATCACATGAAAATTCAAATTGCAATTGAAGATCGCCATGCTAAACTGAATAATATTGTTTCCACGTAGAAATTCTACCTGGTTAACTTGGATGTCCTTGCCGCCATCACCAACAATGATTTTTGCAAGATAACCATCTTCCATGGATTCCATTTCCAAAGTTGCTTTGTCCTGCAACAAATTACGTATATTAACTTGTACTGAATATAAGAGCTTTTCCTGATCTATTATACACAAAAAAATTGTCGAGAATAACTGAGAGGAAAAAAATTCTAAACACTACCTCTAACATTAGAAAGGGCTAGTTCGAGCTTACAGTTTCGATTTCACAAAGAACGTCTCCTGCAGCCACCTGGTCGCCTTCTTTCTTCCTCCACTTTGCAATATTACCCTGCAGTCAAACTCCACATGAGCGTGTAGCACCCAACCGCTACCAAATATGGAAACCTGCTAACGGGCTGTGATTAAAAATGAGCCCGTCACTTTGAACGAGGGAATCTCAAACATATATAACTTCCCTTACACACCACCCAATCTTCACAAGAATTGACTGACAGCCAATTAACATTCACGAACCTGTGTCATGGTCGGTGACAAGGATGGCATTCCAATCTCTTGATGAGGAGGCACTGCAATTCAAAGCCAGTAGTTACAAACTTGTCATCATCAAGAATGTGCCTGTCACAGCCGGCAGACCATGAACCGAACACGCCAGCTGAGCGGAACTGAGCAAACATGAAATTGCAGAGAATATCTTCGACACTAGTTTGCTTCAAGTGAGCATCCATACGAATGTCATGGACAAATAGCTCTACTTCCTCGTCTTCCGATAACCTAATTCCTGAGAATGCGAAATCTTAGGCAAAATTCAGAAGATACTCACGATCCGAGGAGTATGACCGGCTAGTCTGCAAAGCGACATACTGTCTTGGCAAAATCGCAGATGTCAACTTAGGAGACGACCTGCAGTTTCATGTCAAGTACTTAGTCAAATACTGATATTTGTCAAGTAAGATACTGATACTTGTCAGTACAAATATCAGGACGAACCAATTATTGTGCAAATTTTGTTAGACAAGGATACGACAGATTTTTATGAGACACAAAGAGTAAGCCACACAGGGATCCCCGAAATCCGAACAACCTCTTAACGTTCACTCGAAGCTTCGAACTACTGATCCGATAAGCTAGCTGCTTCTTTGATTTATATGTTGTAGCCTGATAAGGTAGATAATTTTTCTGGATTCTCTTTGTAAGAGTATTAGGTCTGTTTTTCTTCTTGTGATCAGTAGGTCCAAGTTCGAAGACAAGTTCCCTTGTAACAAGGTAAACAATGGACTTGTCGTTCAACAAACGGAGTCCAAATCCCACAAAACAATTTGAGCTTTCAGCGCACAATCAGATTACGACGAGGCTAGTACTGATTGTCCACGACTGTAAAAGGAGACAAACAAAACTTCGCAAACCCTAGGACTTTGTAAGACTTCTGCCACCACATGGTTGACATTAAGTGATAAAAACGATGCATAACTTCAATTTATGAGGCTCACATACGGAGCCCAGCAGTGTGCCCACGACTAACTCCAAGGCAAGACGGTCGCTTCTTCACTTGCTTTTGAAACTTGCTATGAAGAAACTTCGTGTTCATATAGATTGGATGACTGTCCTCTCACAAATCTCGTACTAAATCTTTCAGAACTCCAAATAACCAGATCATCCAAAACGATCATGCATATACTGAAGTGGTCACTCTTTATACGAAGAGTCAACGACAGAACATCCTCGTCTGGTTTTCAACTGAAACACGCTCGCTCCCCCCAAGGTTCATCCTCAGCTCTACGTAACAAAAGACAATTCGAAGACCCGGTTTCGAGTCCGCGGTGCTACTCGTATATGCGTTCATCGCAAATCGACACGGAGCAATTTCCTTCCGGTTCAGAAGGAACCAGAGTGTTCTATCAGAGGATGCAAGTCGGAGGGCTGAACAAAACTTGCCTTCAACAAATGTTCCTGGCTATGAAATTAAAACAAGAAATCTCCATAATTACGTAAAGCTTCGTGCCAAATGAGCTACACCAGACAGAAGTACGTCATGCTAGTGAGATCGAGTTGAGATATAGTCGTGCTGGTTGACAGCTAACATGCAAGTCGGGCATACTGATCGAAGTGGCCATGCTCACAGAAGAACAACGGGATCAAGATCCCGACATCCGAAAGAATAGAGAAACAGATCTCCTGGCTCAAATACAGAAATCACTGAAAAACCCAGAGCCCAGATGCCTCATCATTACCTGGACAAAAAATCCGAAGTATCTGGACGAAGCGGAGATTGGCCATGAAAACTGCGTTGCATCAAATTTCTACACTGCTGCTCCGAAATTGCTCCGGATCTAACAACCCCGTCCGATCCTGGCCCGCGTCGAACCCTAGATATGTAGGAAATATAGGAAACGGTCCCCCGGCGGGCCAGCCCTGCTGCCTGGCGACTCGCCATTGCCCCCTGCACTGCACTGCACTGCCAGTTCAAACCTCAACTCATCATCCGAAATTCCAATGCACTTCGAAAACCCCCAAACCCTCTCCTCCCTGGAAATTCCACGCAACCATCACTCCTGCCCGCCCAATCTCCCGTCCTCCCCGTCCCTCGCCCTTTAACGAACAAATCCCAAACCCATGACAAACACTCACGTGCCAACAAACACACACTCTGGCCGAGCGTTCACCTTCAGCGACAGCAGATTGCCCCACTGACGCGCAGCGCAGACATCAATCGGATGTCTCCCTCGCTCCGCAGCAGCAGCAGCAGCAGCAGACAAAGCAGAATCACCCCACAACGGAACGCAGCAGCAGCAGCAGCAGACAAAGCAACGAGGCGGGCAAGGCAAGGCAAGCGCAGAGCAGCGCAGAGCAGCAGAGCACAAGGCCACAAGGACAGCCCCGGGCGACGCAAAGAGAAGAAAACCTGGCCCTCCCAAACCGAAGAACGAGGACCTTCCCTTGCGAGAGCCCCACGAGGCCAGGGTCGGGCCGGGGCGCCCCGGGGGGCAGTCGGAGGGCGCGTGGCCCTTTGACCAACGGAACCAGCCCGCCCCGCCCCGCCCCGCCCCGCCCCGGTACACTTGGTACACTTGGCACTGCTCCAGAAATCATGCAACATTCCCCCACCATTGACCCGACGTGACCTGACCACCCACTCAGCAGCACAGTTCGCTTTTGTTCTGCACGACTTTCGGCGCTCCGGTCCTCTCCTCGACCACCAGTCCCGACCCACTCGACCGCCAACGTCTCGAGCGCATGACGAACTCATGACCAGCTCTTCCCTTGCGACCGCAGTCCCTTTCGAATCAGTCGTTTTCCGTTCATCATTCTATCTAATCATCCGGAAGGTGGCATCTCTGTGTTTGTGAGACTTGCAACCACCTACCGCTCATATTCCAGCAGGTTTCTGTACTATGCTGGTTTTCGGAAGGTGGTGTGGCAAATTCCACCAACTGCCTCAGGTCGTTTACTTCCATGGGGTTAGGTCCCGGTAGGTGCACTCTTCGCACACCGGCTGATTGACTAGTTCGATCCTACAAGAAGCACATCAAGGTGAACACTTTCGAACGACAAGGATGTGAAGTCTATTCTGGGATGTCCTCTTAACGTACTTGGCCATCCCACATGATGCCTATTTTTTTCTCGATGTAATTTGAATTTGTGTAAAGTGTTTCGATGACAAATCATGATCTGCAGATCTGATGAACGAAGACATCCGCTGTGTTTCCTCGTTCACATCACGCTAAAATACTTTCGAACATGAGAACCTTTTTCCACTGCATCAAATGTTCACTGTACTGAGATACATGCATGATAGACTCCCATACGTGTATTTTACACTTCACAATAGTAAAAGAAACGACATGTTATCGAGAAACAATCTAAACTGATTATAATTTATGTATTACAATATTGAGAATAGGCAATAATTATAAATTTATCTCTATGACGTGATTACAAATTCATGACATATGATGTTACATTTGTTCCTGAATTTAGTATAATAAAAAAATTACCCCTTAGGTATAAAATTAACACAATTGTATGTAAATACATGCAACTGACTAACTTACAACATTTATCCATGTGTTTATTTTGATGATTTACTAACATAGGAGATAATGTAAACAAACTACTGAATGTTTAAACATCCATGAAATTACTCCATAGGTGTAAAATTTAAACAATTATATGTATATAAATGCAACCGAGTAACTTACAAAGTTTATCTATGTGCTTATTTTGGTGAGCCGCTAGTCACCTCTCACTTTTCGCTATTCACCACTTACCCCCAATTTTAAAGAACCCCTGTGCACTTTTCTCGCGCTCCGATTGAGTTTAGGGTCTCCGCTTGCTGCATTTGGTTGGGGTCTAGCGGCCAGTCCTTACTTCAGACCGCGACAGAGACAAGGGGCTGTGTCCCGTGTCCCTGATCCAGAGATCGGAGTTAGAACCGTAGAGGAGGTAGAGTGCCAGCCCTTGGCTCAAAAGAGATCATTTGTCGGTCTCAGAGTGAGAGTGAGAGTTAGAGCAACATTGTTTTGCAAGGGAAAGCCGAGCAAGATCAACGGAAGCATTTTTCGGTCTCAGAGTGAGAGTGAGAGTTAGAGCAGCATTGTTTTGCAAGGGAAAGCCGAGCAAGATCAACGGAATCAACGATGACGTCGTCCACGCGTGTGCAAGCGCTACTTTAGATCGCTCTCATGCTTCCTGTTCTTTAAAATTGGGGCTGAGTGGTGACTAGCAACTCCCTTATTTCTTTGAATTATTAATATAGAAGATAATCCTAAACAAACTGTTGAATTTTGTAAACATCCATGCAGTGCAAAAAAAAAAAAAAACATGAACTCATCAAAAGAAACTAGTTAACAACACAAGATTCAAGTAAAATCAAATTTGAAAGTACATTAATATTAAAAGGTTCTTAAAGCTAAAAAAGTCAATAAAAGTAAATTGTACACAAGTGAAATACTAGTAAAGTTGAGCCAAAATAATTATATAATCATTTTGTAAATTTTGTAGTTTAATATAATATGTACTAATATAAGCAAAGTTTCAATTTTCATATTGTTCAAATATAAAAAAACAAACATTTGGATTAAATTTGTATGAAGGATTGATATGCAAAATTTGCCTTTCATAATCTATACATATATCAAGATTTGATGCCAATTCTTATAATCACTTAAACTTTTTATACTTAAACAATTAATATCAGCTTTCTTGCCAAAAATGTCTTGCATTCAAAAAAATGATACTTGCATGATTTTTCTCAAAAATCATACCAACAAATTACCATCTAACACTTTAAAATCTTAATTTTTTTCTTGCCTATCAATGAAATAACTTAAAGGAGTGTTTTCAAAACATACAATTTGTTCAAAATAAATTTTTTTAAAAATCAAACAATTTAAAAATCAACATAGAGAGGAATGAATACTAGTATCTTTCAATGTCATGTTTTCAAACTGCAATGAGTAAACACACATTTCAGTAAATTTCTTCACGTATATATTATTCATATTCTTTGTAACAGTAGAATATACATCCAAATTAACAACCAGTAATGTCATTGATATAATTTTCAATATTTTCTTTTATTTCGTTTTTGAAAAAGAGCACAGATATAGTAGAATGTGTTATTAAACAAGCAATTTATTTGCATTAAAACTAAAATTAAAATTTTTTTAATTATCGACTTATTATAAATATTTCAGGTATAGTTTAAAAGTTGGAATATTACATTTTATCCAATAAATTAATATTAAAATATAGACGGAAAAAGGATTAAGAAAATTCTTCTTAACTATCTAAATTTGTTAATTTTTCTCTAACGATTTTTTTAAAATAACTTAGTGGTTTTAGTCATTTGAGATTATTTTCAAGTTGTACTTATTTTAAGCAAATTTTTTTTTCCCATAAATAGCTCCCATTTTAACCGAATTTTTAATATAATCAATAGTTGAAGAAAAAAATGTTCCAATGCATAGATATGAGTTATAAACAATTTTTCATTTCACATCAAGCAATTTTTAGCTCATTCATTTTTTACTTATATTCTAACAAAACTTTTTTTAATTATGTGATCAAAAAATATGATATATGATTTGTAATTTTTAGCAAACAACTTTACGCAACCTGATTGATCATATGAATTTCTGACTATTTTTTCCAAAATTTATCTAAAAATGGTAATTGAAATAATCCGTAAGCAAACCTTACAATTATTAAATGAAATTTGTTTAAACAAAAGGCAGAAAAAACCATCATATTCTGATTATCAGTCACTTGATTTCGAAAATTTTACATCATAAATAAATTTTGTGTATATAATATGAGAAATTATGTAAAATTTACAAAGTGTGTTTAAGAAATATTTTTTTATATACGTGGTTAAGTTAATAAAAATATCCATTGCAAAATGAAATCTTTATGTAAAATCAATTTGCATTATTCAACAAAAAACTAATTTACATGTATTTAATAGTATTGTCTATAAGAATTAATTTAAATGATTATTATTTTTAAATTATATAGATGATAAAAACATTATGACTTTTAATTCACTAGTAGTAACATATATCTATTACATATACAACATAATATAATAATGTTTTTGGAAAATTTTATGAATTAAAAATTTTATAGATGTAAATCAACAAATCCAATTTTCTAATATATATGATTTTAGCATTATAAGATTATACAAAATTGATAATGATCAATCATATATCTGTTGCAAAATAATATAACATAAAACAACAAGATTTCAATATCATTTATACTATCAAATATATATTATGCTATTGTATAATGAAAGATGAATAATATAATATAATCGATGGACATGACATATTCATTAAACCTTTAAACAAAAAATGATAATTTGAAGTATTTTTATGATACTATATTATCCATTTCACATCTACTCAATGATAATCTTTTAGATTTTACATGTGCGTGTTCATCTTGTACATAGCTAGAACAATATCAAATTTAGTGTATATTATAAAATACATAAATGTTAATATGTTTATGTTTTCAATGATTGAACAAAAAGATGCCAAATTATTGTAATGTATTTTTCTACAATGCATCAAAATTTGTCATGTTAAATCTATAAAGCACATGTTGCATGTAATTCTTTTGACTTAATCATATGTAGTTGTAATCTTTAAGTTTAAATATTGTAATCATTTCTAATTGTTTAAAACTAAATTATACTTTATTCAAAATTAAAATGTAGATACATTATTAAACTATTTATAATTTTCATTTTAGCAATTTGTGTGTTTAATAAATGAAAATTTTGTGTGTTAGTTGACAATGATTTGTGAGCAATCCATGTACTTGCTAGTTAACGATTGAATCTACTAATTATTGTGTTAGTTGAGAACAACATTTCAACAATCTACTGATCTTTAGATATGTCTGTCATGTCATCAATACACTCGATATTTAATAGACAGTGAAAATGAACCTTTATCTCTGTGTTTGAAAATACTATATAAAAAAAATTAGATTCATTATAGATAAATATCATCTTCATAATGTATGTTTTATCTTTCAAGTGAATTTTTTCTTATATACTAATTTTACAATGCTATTAGAACTATCTCGCTCTTTCTTTTAATGCGAATTATCCTCTATTCAATAGCAAGAGTGTGATGATAATTTTCAAGATTGGCAAAGTTCATTGATCTACATGTAAAGAGAAGAAAATATAACATATTGTGGTTTTGTAGATATGAAGATGTTTGACAAAAAATGAGTATTGCAATGGCAAACCTCAAATCTATTTGATATTCAAGCTTGTTAAATGTAGAAACATTGTTTTTTGATATACATTGTGAGTTATTGAGGAGCATATTTATGATTAGAACAATTGAAGTAAGAATGTCATTGATTTTTTTAATAACCAATTATGGAAAGATTTGAGATTGTATCATCTATATTTTAAACTGAATGTTTAATGAATTTGAATCATGAATAACTTCTTCCAACTTTATTGAACACGTATATAAAGATTCAAATAATATATTGACACAATAATGTTGAAATATGTTTTTGTGAAAATTTGTGAAATAAAATAATATAGAACTGTTATAAAATAATTTACACCTTTTGAAACTCATTTGTATAGGGATTAAATAGAGATTATATTTACATTGCATTAGGGCAGGTACACAAAAAAATGGAGACATTATTTGATATGTTTGAGGCAAAATAGTTAACAAATGAAAAAATAGATGCTTACACAAAAAAACTAGCTCTTGTGTTGACAACAAAACTCAAAAATCATACATTGGCAAAAGCCGTCCAAGCATGATTTAGATGTCGCAGAATTTTTGTTCGCACCCGTCTGATGAAACATCACTTTCTGGGGATTAGTGGACACGGACTATTCATTTTGCGGGAAATCCTCCTCAATCTTGTATGTAACATTCCAGATGTCTCACTCAACATGCATCGTCCTCTTCTTTTCACCGTTTGACTCTCAAGAACACGCAACAAAAACTCCATAAAAAGATCACAAGAGTTGATGGCAACTAGTGTACAACTCATGCAGTATCACCGATGCACAAATTTTGACTTCCACTACTTCATCCACAAGTAGATACCCATTTGGCGGACCAATTTGGAGCAAATAGATGTGTTGCACAAGCAAATACAAGAGCGAGCCACTTGCCGTCCGGTCCAGTTGAGAGTCTTGAAAGCACAAGTGAGTAATAGTAAGCTTCAGACGTTGAACTCATTATACATCAAGCTAGAGATTAGGAAACAGCTTGTATCTAGCGCACTGTGACATACTGTAACACTAGGGTTTAGAGAGAAGTTCACTCGAAGATAGAAACGTAAACTCTGAAGATGAGTGATACCAACAATGGTTCTCCTCTCCTTTATATAGCTCTCACCAACAAGTACAAGGTGATAAGATCTAATCCCCACCATCCATCCCACTCCTAGTGGATGGATGACGTGGCGGATAACCCTAACAAGCACACGGATCACTGATGTGGCGCACCCAACTAACACACTAACTAACACACTCAATCCTTACCTACAAGCACACGGATTGCTGACGTGGCACTGTCAACTAACACATCCACTCTGTACCTACCAAGTGCGCGGATCGTTGACGTGACAGCTATGACTAGTGCACACTAAAGTATCTACATCAATATTCAGAGTAACCTCTACTTTAGTTCTAACTAACTAAAGATGGTTACACATACTTTTAACTTCTGTGAAATTTACATGTAAGAATTTTGTAAATGTATTCACAAAGTTATCAACATTTAATCTCATACTCATCACAAAATTGCTTTAAGTTTAATGTGTCTTCACAAGCATAGGATTTGTTTATCAAAGTTAAGATTTGTTATTAAAATTTTATTCTTAATATATTTGTATAGTTAATAAAATTTTCAAATATAATACATATTCAACATTATGTAGATAATTGAATAGAATTTTGAAAATATGAGATTTTATTCTGATGTTTTTTCTTAACACGATGTTTACAATTTACTTCGTTACTCTGATATTTGTTAGATTAGAAGATCTTATTTACAATTTGTGTCAACTCATGTGTCATAGCGTAATCATTTTGATCTAATATCTAATAAAATTGATTTCATCACATATGAAAATATCTATATTATACTTTAACATGTTTAAATATGCATGCTTGTGTTTTTGTAACATAATTTTATGTTCAATATTATCTTGGATAAATATATATATTATATTTTTCACTTTGAAGCTTATTAGTTTCAAGTAAAAATATAATAAAGTTGAAAAAAATTTAGATGACTTAAAAACCCAAATAACAAACTATATTTGTCATTTTCATTCACTTGCTTATATGCAGAAGCAAATAATTTTAAATGTTTAAATGTAATATGAGAATACTCAAAAAATTGCTTTTCAATATTTTGTTATTGAAGATGAAAAATTTAGGTGTAATTAATATTAATAAATTCATAATAATTAGCTTGCATTTTAATTACACTTCCTAAATCATGTAATTATTATGTCCATTGTATTCATTCATATCATATTGAGTTTATTTACACGTCATGTCAATCAGATAGTTTTTTGGAAGATTATAGTTTGTTCAAAATTAAGTTTATATATTTATTTTTTAATTTTGTGCAAAAATTAATAAAACAAGACATTTTTTTTAATCACACAGATTTTTTCTAACTGTATACAATTATGAATTCATAATAGTCATTTACTTAAACCATAAACTAAAATTGACAAAGCAAAAACGTGGAAAACAAGGTAAAAGTATATATATTAAAAAATATGATTTAAATTTAATATTTAATGTTCAAAATGAAATTATAGGATTTGGGATTTAGTACATTTCCATGTATGACTCTCATGAATATTTAGATAATTGAAACAAAATCAAATGTAGTGGATTTTGCTATCAATTATCATCATTATGTCATACCTGCATGGAATACCCAAGAATTCATTGAATATAATTCTTATTAGCATTGCTACTTGAACATTATTGAATATTGTTTGTCTAACTGATTGAGTTAAAACTATGATTGAGTTAAAACTAACACAAGGCAAATACACAGCTCAATGAATTTGTGATACAGCGACATGTTGACACAATGAATTACAGTGTCTGACATATTCACTATACTACATCATATGCAACAAATTTTCAGCTGTATTAAAAATTTTCAATATTTCATGATATGAAAAACGATGATGACTACAATTTCTTTAAATTTACATTAAAAGAAGAATTCAATAAAATTTAAATCATCTAGAATTTTAAACTTAAACTTATGTTTCAAAATAAATATGTAGATTTTCAGCACAATGACTTTCACAAGAAATCAAAGCTTAATGTTCATCCTAAAGTATGAACTAAAAATCAAATACTAAATTCTAAATATGATTACAAATTTTGAAAGTATTGAACTACTAAAATTTCAAATGATATAAATTAATACTTAGTTTTGATTTGTTAACAAATTTCTATTTATGTTGATAGATTCAACTTCAATTAAACTTGCTTAAAACCATGAATATTGCTCATAGTTTATTGTAAATCATTTGCAAGTTGTTATCAATATATATATATCATGCTTGCAGTTTATTAAATCACTTTCATATTAAAATTATCTTCCAAATGACAATTATAATATGAACTACCATAGTTTTGTCTAGATAAATCTACAATAGTATTATGAAAATTATAGTTGATTGCAATTTTAATTAAAAATTAAAATATTGATCAAATAACATACAAACATAGATGACAATATTCACATGTTGCATTAGACACGATATAATGTTTCATATTAGTAGATGATCAATAATGTCTAACATTGCAATGGTGTTTTCCACGTTGACTGACAAAATTTGAAGAGACACCACATATTAATGTTCCAAGATCGTGTGTTAGAAGAGTTGACAAGATGTGAACTCTCTTCGATCATAGAATTCTCCAGCCTAGTCTGGCATATGTCGAATTCAACACAAGTGAATGCAAAACACAATTCCCAATGTAGATGATGTATAAGCAACTAAGTTGACCATGTTACTCCACTCTTCAAATAAAGTCGAGATTAAATATCTTACATCATTGATGTAAGATATTTAATCTCGACTATTATAGTATTGATGTAACATCAATACTATATCACTTCATATGTAACTCCTAATCCACTTTTTTGTAAGGGTCGGATTGAAAATCCAATGACAGAAGTGTTTTCAACAGCAGAAGGATGTCAAGATGCAATTCGGAAGACGGACATGCACGCTGACCTGGCGGGATCAGCTTGCAGTTCGTAACAGCTGCGGATACTTTTCAAGCACGAGCGGCGGGGGAATACGATTCTACTGCCACACTGAAAGTTGAGCTTTCGGAGCTTTGTCAATCTTCGCATTCTTCCGACAGGTCGTCGTACCCAATTCGGAGTGCAGGTGTGTCGTGAAGACGAGAAGTGAGTCTCGTCTTCCGAGAAAACATCGGAGAAAGTGAAGTTTTAGGGTTTTGTCAGTCATTCGAAAACAACTTTTCCCGCGAACAGCTCTGGCGTGGAATGGACGTCGAGCGCTGAAGAAAGCGACGATGGTGGCGGGGAATCTGTAGGCTTCTCCTCTGATTGTACCCCTGGACAGCATTGAAGTGGAAAGATGGTGCGGTTAACCGCGGATTTGATTCTTCGCTCTCCTCAATACTTCAACGCTGTCCGAGAGCGCGAGCTGGACTTGAGGGGTATGTTATCCATCACTTTTGCAAGATGTTGAATAAATTGGGCGATTCTGTGGACTTCCTTCGCGGGTTTGGGTCATGGTTTTGTTCATGTAAGTCGATTTCGAGTGATAATGGAGGGGGATCTTAGTCTGAGTACATGGGAAGTTTGTCCTCTCTATATTTGTTCGTGAGTTGATAGTCAAGTTGCAGACGTCATGGTTTATATTTCCATGTTTTTTATTCATGGGGTGTGGGGGAAGGCGAAATTCTCTGACCTCCTTTCTTCCATCTGCAGGGAACAAAATTGCTGCCATTGAAAATCTGGGCGCAACTGAGGTAGCGAACTGTCCCCTGCTTTTCACCTTTTCATTCGTGATTTCAATCTCTGTTAAAAATATATGTCATACGCCGCAAGAAAATTTCGAAATTGGAAGGAATTTCTAGGCCAATGTATTTAGGACACTACTTCAGGACAGTGCTCCGACTTCAAAGATACTCGAGTTGATGGACCAATATCGTGCACTAAATTGTCCAGTACGTACGTGCACAATCCAACGTCGTACTACTTCACCAAAACCCTAAAAATGTGCGTTTACTCGTCTTAGTCCTACCAAGTGAATCGATGTAATGTGGTCTGATGCAGGATCAATATGACAGCATTGACTTGTCGGACAATGAGATAGTGAAGCTGGAAAACTTCCCATACTTGAAGCGATTGACGACTCTTCTGGTCAACAATAATCGAATTGCTCGCATCAACCCCAGCATCGGAGGTGAGGCAATACCCTTGTTTGTTTGTGAGTTCGAAGTGTTGGGTTTGTTGCCCGGATAATTCGGCAACAACTCTAGTAATAGCATTTTGCGATTCGATCACAAAAACTTGAAGCATCTCTGGCCTCTGGATTAACTTGACTGTGGGTTGTTTCAGTTAGTTTGCCGAAACTTCAAACGCTGATTCTAACGAACAACCGGATTCTGAATTTGGCCGACCTCGATCCGATCGCAACGTTATTGAATCTGCACACTCTTAGTCTGCTGGACAACAATGTGACCAAGCAGCCGAGTTATCGGCTCTTTTTGATACACAAGCTCCCCAAGCTTCGGCTTCTCGATTTTAAGAAAGTGAAAAACAAGGTAGTCGGGCAACCAAATCTCGAATAGATCTGTCATTGCAGCCGAGTTGTGTGGATGTTAGCTTGATAGAAAGGGATTTAATTTGAAGACTGTATTTTCAAGGTGAGTTATTGTGTCAGGCTAGAACTGTGTAGGTGTGAATCATTGATTGCCGCTATAAATTGCGTACTGTGCAGGCAACACTTGCCAATGGCACTCTGTTGAGCCGGAGGAAGGAGTTCTGTGGCCTCAAGGAGACATAACGCTCCATAATGTGGCTAGGGCGAGGCATCCTCCTTTTTGTGTAGGCTAGCATTCTAGGTCCTACTTTCTTGACCTGTAATCTTACGACTTATGTAAGTTTTTGTTGAGCACAGGAGCGCCTTGAAGCAAAGAAGATGTTTGGCACTAAAGGAGCCGAAGCTGAAGCCAAGAAAATTACAGCGAAAACGTTCGTCCCAGGGGAGGTTGCACCATCTGTAGAGCCACCACAGCCAGAGGAGGCGCCCAGAACTGGACCCACACCAGAGCAAATGGTTGCCATCAAGGTTTGTCAACTCATCTTTGCGTAGTTTATGCGCTTCGAAATATGCTACATTTGCTCCTTTCCTTTACACGTCAAACGTGGGAGTGCTGTAATTGACATGTGTAGCATGTAGCGGCGCCTTCTGCTAGGTTGTGAAATCTAACAGACACTTGTTGAAGTTCCTGAAGTTTCTCTCCATTCCCTTTGTTGTGGGAACGGGAAACCGACAGTATCCGTTTCTGCCGTCTTATGGAAGATGTTTTGTATTTGGAGTTATTGATTTAACGTATTTTTGACCTCGCAGGCTGCCATTGCCAATTCTCAAACGCTTGAAGAAGTCGCAAGGCTTGAGAAGGTAGTACAAAAGCTGACTCAATTTTAGTACTTGTAATATTCATTGGTCAACCATTGTACATCATTCTCTTCATCATAGTTTCGTCAAATTTAATATGTAACTAATTTCTAAGCTGAACTCAAGAGTTGCTTTTGTATTTTTGTATCAAATTTTGTCAACTGGTGATACAAGTTGAGATCAAATTATTCATCTTGGCCTTAAACTCATTAACGTTTACCTACTATTTCTGTCATCCGCTGACATGAAAAACCTTATGTGCTGTGGCCCTTTCAGGCTCTAAGAACAGGACAATTACCGGCTGATTTGATATTAACTGGCGATGAGGATCTTCGGAAGCCAAAAACGGATGGACCTGTTCTAGAGAGCCCAGCAGAAGAGCCTGAAAAGGTCGAGAGCATGGAAGAGGTAATTCCCCTTTGCAGAGTTTCTTATCTATTAGGCGCATGGATCATGTATCAATCTCCTTGAGGAAGTGGGGATAGTAGATATTTTTCATTAGTCCACACAGGGTGGAAGCCGTTGTATCACATATTTAAGAATATTCTAGGAGTAATAATTTATGTGATTCTGCTGCCGTTTTTTGTACCTTAAGTGCTCAGTGGCGGTTTTGCTGCAGGACTGATGCGTCATCATTTTAAGAATCACAGCACTGGGCTGCGCATATGCTCCCCCAAAAAGAACTTGACACTAGCAGTGGATATTGGTATGTAACCGAAGAGTGCCATGGTTCAGAGGTTTATATTCACCACAACGTGGACAGAGCTACGCTGAGAAGCAGTCAATTGTAGAGGTGTAGTCGGTACAAATTTTGCATACTTGAAAGTTTAGTGTGTGCCATCGATTTTTGATCAGGTAGTCTGCAGGTTGACTGTGTAGAGTAGTGAAGGTACTGACAGCGACTAGATTCTGGTGCAAGCAGCTCCTTTGAAAGAGGACCGTAACAGTACTGAAACCGGGCGACCATGCGAAGGTTATTTGTATCGATGCTCCACGGGGGAGTTGTAAAAATGATGTGAATGCCTTACTTTGGATGTCAATGTTCAATGATCTTGGGAAGTAGGAATGCCGAAGCGGGTCTAGTTTGTATCATGTTATTTGAGTGCCAATCAGAGGTGCATTGATCACCCTTCACCCTTCAACCTTTGCGTGACAATACTCCTTGACTCCTAAGGCTCTCGGCCAATTATTACTGACTCGATCCACGTGTTGCCTGTGGGAAGAGTCTATAAACCCCTACCTTCGGTGAATGGGAAAAGCGGAAAAGATCAAGCCAGAGCACGGGGAACTTCTCGAGCATATATATATATATATATATATATAAACTAGCCAGTTGTTCAAGGTGTAGTGAAAGTTCACTTTTTGATGTCGAAACGGACGTCTCACGGCGAAGGGAAGAATGAAGGTTGTGTATGCGTGGAAGCAAGGATCATGACTCGACGGTGAGAATGGCTCAAATTTTCGAGCGCTTACTTATGGAACCGATTTTCGAGTACCGAAAGTGCAGAGTTACATTTTAGTGTAGTAGTGTTTCACATGGACGAAAGGTACGAAGTTTGGGTATGGAAAAAAAGTTCGTTTCGAGCTTTACGTCGAAATGCTCTGTTGAATTTACGCACCGAGTACTTGTGCAGAGCACTGTAGGTACTGAAGGTATAGGTTACGAATTGAACATATCACGGCGATGTGGAGAGCATAAAATTATATGTAAGGCCCCAAGTACTGGGAGTAGTGGATATCGTGGTTTGAACGATGGCGAACTACATGATACAAAAGCTGACTCTGTACTGTCTGAAGTGTTTACGCTCTTAATATTCCCTTATTAGGTAGTAATTATGATGGTCAAAGATTCAGAGAATACTTATGATAGCTACAGATACGTAACTCTCAAATATTTCAAAATATTATCCTTTAATGAAAAATTTTAATTATGTGAGATCAAAATCAAGTGTACCAGTAGCTGTAATGAATTAAAGTTGATTAAGCTGACCAGAATAAAATCAACATACAAGTTAAACTCTTTCATTTTCGAATATGTTCATCAACAACTAGAATAAACGTTTTGAATTTCAATCTATTTTCTATTCTTAAATTTTTATTTTTTTACTTAAATTTTAAAAAATAAAAGACTTCAACTTTATTAAAAAGTTGAAGGTTTTTGACTTTGAAAATAGTAACGTAATAGAACTCTTTTTTGTATAAGTACTATTAATTTTGGAAAAGTATAGCGACTGATTTTTTCATTGAATTTTTTTTTTCAATTAATGTTTCCATGCATTATTAATTCAAATGCCAAAGCTGTTCGCAATATATATCACTGGTTGAGTATAACTATTCTTCATGTAAAGTTGAATATTTGAAATATCTTGCAATTTACAAGGATTAGATCAAAGAAGTAATAAAATAAAATAAGAATAGTTCATAAATATATACTTAATTCGATCATAACTTGATAAACAATTCTCAAATTAAAGAGGTTTTGAGTACCATTAGAGTGATTCAAGGTTGTACTCTCTCTCCTATTCTATTTGGAGTTTTTATATGTGAAATCGAAGAGTGGTTGGAATCATGTGATAGTGAAGGTGTCAAGCTTGGAAATTTTGTTATCAAAACTCTCTTACATGCAGATGATATCATATTGCTAGCACGTGATGCATTTAGTTTACAGAAACACCTATACAATTTGGCTAGCTTTTGTACCCAGAATCAGATCGAGGTAAATATAGAGAAGTCCAAAGTCATGATAATGGGCACTAGATCCAAGTTTTACTTCTATTACAAGGATCTACAATTAGAAGAGTTGAAGAATTATAAATATCTAGGCATTGATTTTTCTAATGATTATAGTTGGGCACTTTGTGTGCAAAAGAGAGTAGAAAGTGGTTACAAAGCTCTATATTCATTGCTAAATCGGTGTAGAAGGGCTCATCTTGCGACTTGGAGTCTTAGGAAATTTTTATTCAGAAGATGAGTGTTGCCCGTAGTATTGTATGGAATCCAAGTGTGGGGTCCTGGTTGTAAGAAGACAGGTTGGGAGAGTGTAGAGAGGGTGCAGAATATATTTCTACAAGAAGAATTGGGTGTAAGAAACCAAACCTCATATGCTATTCTTCTTGCGGAAACAGTTTATTTACCTCTAGAGGCTGAAGCTCTATACTTGACTATCACTTACATCAGAAGGGTGAGATCTCTTGATGCTTCTCGCCTTCCTCCTCAAGCTTTGAGTGACACACGTGCCAAATGATGATTAGCGGATGTGATAACTTGGTCTTTGAGGTGGGATGTGACGGAATGCGATTGGAACCTACAACCTACAGCACTACTTGAACGTCTGAAGGAGGAGTTTCTGAACATTATTTGGAGCAAGCGCGGCACCAAGATGCAGTTTTATCAACTTCATGTGAATCCTATGCTTGTTTATTGTGAACAGGATTACCTACTTGCAGGAATCTCTACGTACTTACGTCATATTATTGCCAGGCATGGACCTGGATCTCATAGGCTTGGAATTGAGGAAGTACGTTGGTTGAATATTGATAGCAGTGAACGTATTTGTAGGCTATGTGATGGAAGAGAAGTTGAGTATGAAGAGCATGTATTTCTTACTTGTACTAGATATGTAGAGATTAGAGTGGCTCATAATATAGATGTGGAGAATTTTTATTCTTTGTTACAGTTAGTTCCTTTTGATTTAGGTTGTTATATTAGGGACATTATTAGTTATCGTTCTAGTGCTCTTGGCACTAGTTAGGGATTGGCCTTTGGGATCTTTTTTCCTTGTTTGTGGTTGTCGTTTGTATTGTGTTTTACAGCCTTTGGACCTTTTGGGTCACCCGGGCTTGATCTATTACCATTTACAAACAAATTTCTGATTATATAATTACTTTGTTTGCTCGATGAATTGTTTGTTATTTACTATTTTTTCACCAATTGTATATCAATTGGTTATGATTAATTGATGTCTTATATAAAGTGTTCATAAAATATGAAGAGTTGCTTGTTAGTTTTTGAGTAAATTGATTTTTTCTTTAATATACATTTAAAATATAATTTTAATATATTTGAAAGTTGGATTCTTCTAATTTGTTTTTATGTTAACAAAAGAACATTCATTATGTTCATATTATTTATGAATTATAAATATATATACATTTATTTATTTATATTTTGAAAAGCATATTTTGGTAGATTTTTATAATTCAATAATAAGAATTTAATTCAATAAATAAGTAGATAAATAAATATGTAGCTAGCTAAATTATATATATATTTAATAATAATTTGAGTTTCAAATACTAAATATGCATACATAAAATAGATAACAATGTTTCATTTTGATCCTATATATATATATATATGTATGTATGTATAACATTTTTAAGCCCAGATTTAATTTTTAATTGTTGTTTTGATAAAATCAAAATAATCAATTTTTTGTAGAATTTTTAAAATCCCTAACATGGATATGATTACTAATCAGTTTTGAATTCAGACAAAATTTAGAAAAACTTTCAATCAATTGAAGCGAGTAAACTTTTTGCAATATACTACCAATTTTTCTTCACTCTTCAGACTTGTCAATTTAAGCTTCAATTTAGTTCAAGAATTCAAAATTGTCAAAACTAGCAAATTCAGATTCAATTTCAAAATATCAAAACTAGATGAAATACAAGATATTTGCATTGTAAGAGTATAAAAATAATATAGCAAAATGATTGCTGTCAAGATGTTTTCCATTCATTTGATATAAATATATAGAATCCAAAACAAATGATTGCATTAATTTTGAAAAATATATTAATCATGGAGAAAATAGTTTAAAACAATATGTAAATTAGAGATGTATTAAGAGAAAAAAATTCTAATTTATCATGTTTATCAATTTTATACGGCAAGATCTTTTGTTATCAAGTAAATTTTAATTGGTCACTTTTCATGTGTTCCAATCAAACTCATGGTTGATGAGGGTAAAAAAATACCTCTTTTGGTTTTTCAATAAAATGTTGATCTTTCTAGCTTGAACCAATTGTGAATCTTTGTTGTTTCATTAATGTGGGATATTAATGTTTACAAAAAATTTATTGAGTTAAAAAAATAAAACTTGAATTGATATAATAATTATATTTTTGTAATATTTAATAAAATTTTTTATATTATATACACTATATTATTTAATGATTTAAGGGAGTCTGTAAGATTCCATGAAATTTTTTTACAAGATTTTTTTACAATATATTTGAAAATATGAACTTAAGAATTATCAACTTTTTACTCTTTCATTTGGTAATAAAAAACTTTACTCTAATCCACTCAAGCGATACAATTGAAGATTCTACTTGGACTAAAATATGTGTTTCCTGGATTAAAATTTTCCTCGTTTACTCGTTTCTTTGCTTTTTTGATTACACTGCACATTTGATAATTCAAGAAATGAAAGGTAGAGTTTGCAAGCAGAGAAAATTGTAGAGAAACTTATGGGTCCCATGGCAAGGTACTCTTAGTGTTTGTTTTGCTAGGTCTCTATCTCTTTTCAATCTGGAACATGTTCTCCATTGGAACACATACCTGAATTAAGATTGCCATATTTTTATAATTTTCATCAAATTTCCAATATGTTTTTTACTCGGAGTGAAATCAACTCTCTAGTTCTTCAATCTTAGCAGTTCTATCCCTGGTGACAAAATGAACTAAAATTAATACTAAATTTATAGTTAGTCTCATAAACAAAGTTGAATTGGTAGATGAAAAATACAAATTTTTGATATGAGTAGGAATCAATCAACTAATCTCATTTCTACCATGAACTTTTTCATTTCATTATTTTTTGTCACATGGCTTGGCGATAATCATTTTGAGAGTTTTGAATCAATTCGCATGAATAAGGTAAAGGCTTGTTAGGTTGGTGCAGAAGTAGTCTTTCTTTGCACTTCCGATTTGCCTAGACTTTTTCCACGATGTTGGATCATAATACTTTACTTTCCTCCGTTTTTCTACACATTTACACTCTCAATTTATTAAATTTTGCTGCTCATGTGCCCTCCAATTTGCCCAAACCGTGTTGAAATCTTTGATTCAAAAATCAAGAAAACTGTTTTAATCATTAAGTATGCTTGTACATATAGTGTAGTCTACAA